ATTAAATTTGCCCAATGATGGTATGATGCTTTGCGAATCTTCATATAGAAAATGTATTAAAAAGTTTTTTTTATTTAAGAAACTAGGAGGTTCTCCCTCCTGCTATCTCCGTTCACAAACCTCCATATTTGTTTCTGATTCATCATTTTTTGTAAAAACACCAAACAAAAAAAAAACATTATTATTTATTTCTTAACGGCAATTTTTGTTAAATTTATCCAATGATAGTATCATGCTTTGCGAATCTTGATATAGAAAATGCATTAAAAAGTTGCTTCAAATGTAATAAAAAGTTTTTTTTTTTTTATTTAAGAAACTAGGAGGCTCGCCCCCCTTGTATCTCCGCTCACCAATCTCCGTATTTGTTTCTGATTCATAATTTTTTGTAAAAACACCAAACAAACAAAAAAACATTATTTATTTCTTAACGGCAATTTTAATTAAATTTGCCCAATGATGGTATGATGCTTTGCGAATCTTCATATAGAAAATGTATTAAAAAGTTTTTTTTATTTAAGAAACTAGGAGGTTCTCCCTCCTGCTATCTCCGTTCACAAACCTCCGTATTTGTTCCTGATTCATCATTTTTTGTAAAAACACCAAACAAAAAAAAAAACATTATTATTTATTTCTTAACGGCAATTTTTATTAAATTTGCCTAATGATGGTATGATGCTTTGCGAATCTTCATATAGAAAATGTATTAAAAAGTTTTTTTTATTTAAGAAACTAGGAGGTTCTCCCTCCTGCTATCTCCGTTCACAAACCTCCGTATTTGTTTCTGATTCATCATTTTTTGTAAAAAAACCAAACAAAAAAAACATTGTTATTTATTTTTTAACTTCAATTTGTATTAAATTTACCCAATGATAGTATCATGCTTTGCGAATCTTGATATAGAAAATGCATTAAAAAGCTGCTTTAAATGATTGAAAAGTTTTTTTATTTAAGGAACTAGGAGGTTCTCCCTCCTGCTATCTGCACTCACCAATCTCCGTATTTGTTTCTGATTCATCATTTTTTGTGAAAACATTGTAAAAACACCAAAAAAAATATTATTATTTATTTGTTTTTTATGTTAGGAAAAATTTAAAATTAAGCGATTGAGAACCGTTAAGGCAGTGGTAGCAACCCTATGACCTATGGGTCATATACTAACCCACCAAGGGTTAAATGAAATACCCAAAAAATGAAATTAACATAAAAGGCTCGAAACTTTCAAACACCCAACTGATCAAACTATTAGAACCATATTTTACAGATTGCGGTTTCTCCCATATTTCCGTTGAAAAGGACATACGTTTATTCAGAGAGTCTGATTTCGTAACTTAAAATATCGTGGACAAAGGAAAAATCGTGCATTTAAAATAAACATTAGAGCGATTAAGATTGTATCTTGAAACGTGACAATCCGCTCACTTGATCAAAGGTTATTCAGGTGTTACTGAAATCGTTTCTTTAATACGGAATAGAGCGAGTTTACTTTTTGACTGTTTGCTTTTACGTCATTGATGAATAAACGATTTTAGTCTGGCTCAATGGTTGGATTTTAGTCTGGCTCTTTAAAATACTAAATTCGTTCAATCAGTTTCTAACCATTGCAGTTTAACAGTACTTTTTTTATAAGTATGCCGCAGAGGTTTGCATAGTAAATTTACAGAATCTGGCAAATTTTATTCCTGTAAAATTACGTAGTCTTACACATTTGATTTCTGTTAGTTTACAGAAAATTACTTCATGTGTGTAAAATTATACAGTTTTACTGTAAATAGTTTTAGGTATTTTAAGAAAATATTTGTGTTTATTAACTCTACAATTTTGCATAAGACTCCTAATAAATGAACTATTTCAATTTATATATATATATATATATACTA